TAAGACATCTTCTTCGCCGGAGGAAAAGTGTGCTCATGTTAGCCCATTACACACTCAACCATTATAAATTATCATATATTTAGTTTTGCAAATACTGCGGAAGCCTCCATGGAAACTTTTTCTTGGGCATGACTGCATTTTGGCAACTTTGCTTCGGGGCTCAAAATCTTATCACAGGAAAGTTGATTCGCCAAGCATCAGTAAGCACTAGAAAGAGCAAGAAAAGTACTTCTAGAGGAAGGTTATGACAGTACCATAAGTGCAAAACCCTAAGAAAATAGCTGCGTTAAAACAAGGCAATTAAAAATCGGACAGAACTTTGAATCAGCCTAGTATTGCCAGAGGTTGATTATCAAAGCCAAAAAAGGATTGTAAGCAGGGTCAAGCAAGGGGTGTGGCACACGATCGCTGGTTACGACCCCCCCCCCCTGATTGCTGTCTTAATAAGACCCTCCCTTGAACTATACACTTGAGATAGCATTACTTGAAGTCCCTGTCAAACATAATGGGCAACATATCCATAATTAGCATGTCAAATAACCCCTGTAGACAAAGTGTGAGCGAATTTTGAAGATTCAAGATACTAGGCTACCTAAGTGAAATGGTCAAATTCCAACATGATTAACTTTGTTTCAAAAATGAATAAGCTATCCATTTTTGCACTCAGACAAAGCACTACTCCTTCTTTGTCCATCTCAGGAATCCCGCTTCAGCAGACCTCCAAACTGTGGAATTAGAAGCCAAGCAAAATCGCGCGGCCGCAGCTTTTAAGGGGGTGTGCCGCACCCCATTAACTATATCAAAAAAACATTTTTAGCGGACAGTATTTATATATATCGATAGCCTAAACCTTGTAAATTCCATAGAAATGTTTTAAGCCTGATTCGTCTTCTTAGCTCTGAGTAATATTTGGTGAAAGCACAGCCATTAAAAGCGAAAAATGGGAAAAGCGAGATTTTGGTTGGCTTCTAATTCCACAGTTTGGAGGTTTTCTGAAGCGGTTCCTGAGGTGGACAAAGAAGGAGTAGTGCATTGTCTTGAGTGCAAAAACGGATAGCTAATTCACCTTTGAAACAAAGTTAACCATGTTGGAATTTAACCATCTCACTTAGGTAGCCTAGTATTTTGAATCTTCAGAATTCGCTCACACTTTGTCTACAGGGGTTATTTGACATGATAGTTATGGATAGGATACGAATATCATGTTATCACTATTATCAGATTACCCAACTACGACCCCCTCCCCTTTTGACTCCTCAATACGACCCCCCCCCCCAAGTGTGGCGTGCCGCACACCACGCTTGACCCTGATTGTAAGTTGCAAACAAATCGAAATCTGCCACCCTTGCGAAGTCGAACAAATAGATTGCGTCACAGAACTCATAGAAAAAGTTGCATTACTTATATGTCAACCTGATATTTTTGTGCACTTTAACTAAAGACTATCCTCAACATACCTGTCCTTACTTTTGAGAATCGGAATTTCCTTTATGACCAAAAAATTGATTTCTATCAAATCCAGTTACTCATAATCTTGATGACATCTTGATAGCTAAAGTCGCAAAATTCTAATTAGTTGTTGCGCGGCAAATGAATGTCATATTCGAATATTCCACATACTGCATGACAAGTTTGCACATGGATTTTACGCTCTTATCTCTGATATAAGACCCGTCTCAGATTACAACACAGATCTCATACAATCTTTTCTAACCTTGCATCTTCCCGTTCACTCTGCTACTCTTGTGAGTCCATCCGTTCTTCTCGGCTAATTTAAGCTCTATTAGGTCTGACTTGATCTTGTCCATCCATCTAGTTCTAGATCTACCTCTTGGCCTCTTTCAGGGAAGATTTAGTGACATGGCAAGTCTTGTCATGTGGCTTTCTTCTCTCCTACTTACACGTCTGTACCATCATAGGCGCTTCTCTTGTAGCTTCTTGAGGTTCGGAGCAACTTTTATTGTACTTCTTGATGGAGTCGTTCAAACGCGATGCATGGTGACTCCAGTAGCCTATCGCAGCATTCCCGTCTCCGTAACACCGACTTTTTTTTCGTCGTTGCGCGTGCTCGGCAAGCATTCGCTACCATAGAGTGCAGTTGGACGGATTATCGTACAATATCTGGGACTTGAGCTTTCGAGGTATTCTTCTGTCGCATAGGACTCCTTTGAGGCTTCTCCATCTTGACCAAGCTGCGTTGATCCTACTGAGTATCTCGTCGTGAAGCTTCCATCTGCGGCGATATGACTTCCTAGGTACTTGAACGTGGTAGTCTTCCTGAACATCGTTCCCAATTCGGATGTTCCAGGGGTTTAGGCTCCAAGCTTTTAGGCTTCAAGCTCCATGTATACCGTCTATACTGCGTTAAAGCCTAAGCCTGCTACCCCATGAGCCTTCCACTTCTGCACAACGTCTTCTAGCTCTTTTCTGCTTTTGGCTATCAGAATCACTTCATCCGCATATCAGTCGAAGCTTATCGTAGATTATTTAGATAACCTACCACCTTTATCACTGTAGATTCATCTTAAATATTACATTTAGCATATTTGCTAGCTTGTCGTTGACAAACTTTACTGTTCACTGACCACTTATGCCGCCAGGTCACCCATCCACTGTGCTTGAGGCGCCTACTTTCATAATCCTTGTCTCTGTATGATACTGTTATTTGCCAGAAGTGAGCATTCAGGTTATCCACGCCCGAAATAGTGGCATAATAGGGCCTGAATACTCAGTTCTGGTATTGGTTCGATTATTACCACTATCGTCAGCGGCTGTTCCGCATATTCACTGTTGATAGTCAGCGGCTGCTCCGCTACTATCGAATAAACAGTTATTAACGTAGTGGTACCAGCTTGATGTATACCAAAAAGCTGGTGACATGTGAATCTACTGGTTTTCGCATCCATGACTGTAATGAAGAGTAGTGGCGACAATACAGAGCCCCGATGCATACCTGCTTCTATTTATTTATCTATTTATTGAATGCATTCATTGATGCACCAAAGAAATGTGGTCACTACAAAAAAGAGAACATCAAATAACACAGTGTTAAGATAAAATCATATGCATCTGCAGTCTTCTGGCTATCAATTTTAGGGAACACTTTGAGTCAAGTATAGCACCTTTTCGACGTATATGCGCATCTGCAAAATAACTGACTACCGCTCTTTAAGAGCCATGGTGTAAAAGCAGTGAACTCATCACTTACAAGAGAATCTATAGAGGAAAACACCAGATCGAATGGGCGAAACCATGCGTGCTTGACGAGTAACCTCTTTTAGCTTCCTCTTACATCGCTACCATGGATGAAGATACATCATGTGAAGTGAGACACTTGCTTTATCATGGTGTGTCTGGAATTCTATCCGAATTTATCATTTAACTGGAAAAAATTGATTTAAGCGGTAGCTGGTCGCATTTTTTTATAGATCACCTTAGTCCACTGCACCCATTCTTCTGGCACCATGTGCTTTCGTAACGACCACCATATAATGTCTGCTAGGTCGAGATCTCAATCTGATCATATAGATGCGTTATATTGGATTAAATACTGTAAATATGAGATTATTCCGAAAACCGTTTTTCGACTCATTATAAAATCACCTGCAATGAACATAGCCGAAGGTTTTAGATACCCTTTTCTTCCTTTTAGCAATCATGCTTCTGAATTGGTTTCTCTGTTTGTAACTGGAATGTTAGCTTATAATGAAAATTTTCGGACATTTGCAAATTTTCAAACTGCTGCAACTTGAAGATGTGAACCTTTCTAGGAGCTGCAAGTAGATAGTGTTGTCTACAACAACTGCTTCTCTTAAATAGTTTGTCATTCCATTTGGGGTCCATACGCAGAAGAGAAAAAGACTTGAATATTGTCCTGTTTATGCAGCATTATCTCACGATTACAATCGCTAGTGGGCTCCTGTGTGGCACTTATGTAGAGGTTGAAAGGGCGAATCTTGACCATAAAGCGCCAATCACTACTTGAGGGCGCCGCCTGCACAAAAACTTTTTTGTATCCTATTTTTTTTATTTATCCTTTTTCTGAGAAAATGGTTTCAAAGTCCGACCTTTCCACACGACCAAGTTTCTGATGACAGCAAAAATAGTTTGAATAATGTCTTGCACACCTTCTAGACCCATTACTTAGGCGTGGCTGTTCCTCAGAATCGACGCCAGATGCGAAAAGTGTTACAATCGAAGGTGAGTTTGACAGCTTTGAATTTTGTGCGCGTATTGCAAAATTTGAGCAACTGCGTGTTGTCGAGTGCGAGAAAGATAAGCCAATAATATGAAATTTCCAAAAGTACCTAGGAATTTTCTTTACAACCTAATAATTAATTCCAGACATGCCATGTCTAACTCCAGCATTTTTTCAAAAAATCTTATTCTAGACTGAAAATAGTCTAATAAGAGGTGAGTAATGTAAGAAAAGTGCAATAAAGTAAGTTTTTTGATCTTTCCAAGTTGATTCCTTGATATTTCTTGAGAGAGTTTTTCCGAAATCACATTCGCGAAGTCGTGTCATACCCAGACACGACGAGTATTAAAAATCTATAACTTTGAAAGTTATACATCTCAATGTCTTGGAAGGGAATAGAACCTGTCAGAATGGAGAGAAACCTGCAGTGAAGGAACTCCTTCAAGTGCTTATCTTCTGACTCTGCTAGCAGCCCCAAAAGCCATCTGGAGATTCCAAAAAAATTGTTACATCGTAGTTTGTTGACTCTTCCAGCTGTAATCGAAACTCTTCCAGTATGAAATGAAGAATTTCAAAAAAATTGCTAGATTGGACATGAAACCTTATGTTCGAAATTGCGGCGATTATTTCGATGAAGCTCATTACTGGATGTCATCGCAAAGGTTTATTTCAGCTGTTCGAAATTGAGATGTAACAAAAGCATTATCAAAACGCGATTCTGAATATTTCGTAGATTATCAGCATGCTATCGGAGCAATTCTTAAAAAATTTATCAAACCATAGCTGCTTCTGCAGCCATGCGATGGACAGCGTCATCGCCGGCACAATCACTATTGCGGTATGTTGCAGTAAGATGGTACGATAATAGCAAAGCATTGAATTTAGTGAGTTGGTTTCAGCTTGGTATCTTTGGCTGCATCATCAATATCGTAGCGATAGTGCAAACTCTGAAAGAAGCTTCACTGCAAAAAGAATTTGGCTACCTCTGCGTATCAAAATTGACAGCCAACGTGGGGACGCTGTCACTCAACACTATGTGGTCTGGTCCGGCAATGCTTTTGTGAGTAAGCGTAACTCATTTGATTTGTGATCAGATTAGACCCATTCAGTCATCTTGACGTAAACACTACATCTTCATTTGTTGGAGCGAGGTTTGGTCAGTTGATGATGCTTTTTTACTACGTGTCAATGTACAGTCAACTGCAAATTGCTGCAAGTCGTTTCCTCGCAATTGCTTTTCCTCTTCGATACAGGTAGAATTGATCAGCAAGAACGAATCATCGCATGTGTGACACGAAAAACATTTGGTAACATCTTTAGAAACTTGTACGCGGGGCGTAAATATGTGGTACACATTGGCGGCTCCTGGGTTCTGGCTTTCATTTTCGCGTCAGTTTATTTCCGAGGTATGACGTCTAAATCGATGCATGGGTAGTGAGCGTTTTTCTCTATGATTAGTTTAATGCTTAAAATCAAGTAATCCTAGCGGCTAATATACTGTAACAAAAGGTCTCGCAACTCCTGAACTTTCACACATTTGTATACCACGAAAATATCATGGCCTCTTTCCTGCAGCCGATACTACGATGATTGGATAGATAAAGTGAAGAAAACCAAACTTAGGTCAGTATGCACGTACATGCCCGCGGGGAGGGAATCTAACAAGGGAAAGATACATGGTTGAAGTGGCGTTTCCATATACTAACAAGGAAAGGATACACGGTGACCATGGCCTTTGGAAATGAAACGTAAACCATCAAATACATCTTGAAGCGCTGATTCCAAATCTGCTTTCGTCTCTTCCGAAAGAAGTTATGAACATTTCTTGTCACCAAAATTTGCACTGTTTTTGATGCAGGATTCACCGATATCGTTAGAATGTTCGCTTACGCACTACAAAAGAGCGTACAGGTAAAGTAAAGCTTAGCGTTAAGCTCAGGAAAACTGTCACCGAAACATCAAAGTCGAAAAAGCCTGGATAGACGATTTTGACTGCCTAAATCTAGCGAAATTAAGACGGAAAAAGTCCATACCTTCGTTCAGGGAGTAGCACAGCAGGTAATGAACATAGATTCAGAATCAGCGTTCCAAGACGCACCTACTGGTATATATCTTGTTGCAAAAGGCCAACACCAAGTATCCTTCCCTCGTAAGATGTACACTATCTTAGCATGAAGCACTCCATATCTGCTTTCGGCATCTGCAAAGCACTTCTGGGAGGAAAGTTCGGCAATTTTTGAGGTAAGAAATAATTTGGCTAACAATAAGATAAAAATAGGTGCTGAGGGCTTTCAAATTTTTGCATCAAGGAATTATTTTTTTAACTCCATCCCGGAACCGCTTTGCAGATATCGAAATTAGATTTGAGCTCAGCGTTCCATGCCCTATAAGACATATATTTCGTATGGAAAAGCCACTTTGGAAAAGTATGCATCTTTTGTAAGATGGGACTCGCCATTCTCGCCACTCTAGATATTTTTCTTTTTCTTTATCTGGCTTACGAAGGTTCTCATGCCTTAATACCTGCGCATAATGCCAATTATGCCATACAAGATTGAATTTTCACTATTTTGTGTGATCGCCTGGGGAACCCAGGAAATCACCTCTCATTTTCAAAGTCATTTATCTTTCTATAAACTCATTAAAAACTTGTAAAATTGTGCTGAGTATTTAATATATTTGGCACTGCCAAATTTACAGTAGAAATAATTGAAATTTCAGGATATCGAAATCTGCGATGAAACACTGCTTGCGAGCTAGAGATCATCGAAAAATTCACAACCTTCAGATTTTTTTATGGAAAACATGCTCAGCAGTGCCGTAGTGTATCTTCAGTACAATCTTACAGCGCTTTCATTGAATTTTCAAAAAGATAAATGACTTTGAAAATGAGAGGTGATGCCCTGTCTGGGAATCTCCGGGGTGAAAATCTAACCCTGTATGGCAGTAACTTGGCATCCATTGCGCAATTATCAGGGTAAGGAGCTCATAAGCCAGATAAAAAGAAGAAAGATATCTAAAGAGCGAGATATGGCGAGTACACTCTGAGATCACCTCCCCTCTTCGAGGCGGTGTACGTGCATACGGGCCTTAAGGTAATGGGCTAGGGCTAGTGCCAGAAATCAGTATAGGGTGCCGGAAAGTAATGGGACAGCTTTTTTCTACATTTTAATCGTTTTTCTTTTGATTTTCAAAAATTAGGCTGCAACTGAAACATCATTTATATAAGCGACCTTCGATTATTCGTATGGCAACGCGCTACCGCTCTTTTCCCGGAATTCTCGGAGTGGCACTTCGAAGAAATCGAACCAAGTTTGGGACATCTCTTATAATAGCGCGGCTACAACGCAAAAGTGAGAAGTAGCACACCATGGAAGAGCCTCAATCTCTTTTATGTGATCCAAAAATATTTCTCGTATTCATAGATAAGAAAGGTAAAAAGTTTGAGAAAGTGCGATTTCTGCCGCAGTAAAGCGCAAGAGATCATATTTCAGCTTTAATTTTTGAAAATAAAGTAAAATTGAAGTAAACTGCGCATGGATGGATAGTGCCTAAAAATTTTTTTTAGATAATCTCCCAAGAGTTTAGATTTTTCTTACGCAAAGAAACAAGTAACAAGTATTCTGTGGCGGCTCGGTGGGCCCTAAGCACCTAGGCTTACCCGAGTTACCCGTGCGCGCTTGCCCACTTAACTCTTACGACGCATCTAGCCTACCTCCACCCTAGCGCGTGAGGAACAGAAAGGTAAACACTAACTATTTATCTTTAAAAACACAAAGAATCAGTAAACGCTACGTCAAAATACTAAACTACAACAGCACTACGGTAGGGAAAAACAACCCCAGCACGGGACAGGATGCCCCGCCCGTGCTACTGATGTTGCGCATCTACAACTTCTAACAACAATGATGCTCCCGAGGCTTCACCTAAACAGATCCGCCACGCGTCGCTGGATACCAGGCGCGACACCTCTCCGCTTTCAGAATTCACAAGGTCTAAATATCTCAAACCTCAAAAACTCCAAAGGTGGCGCGTCCGAAACAATCCCAAATCACACTTGGATCTGATATAACTTTCTATCCGCTCGACCGCTAACGCAAAGAGACATCAAAGGCGGGACTACTTGCCAGCACGAGCACGGTGAAAAACATATGAGAAGATTATTGATCGAAGACGAAAGCGAACAGACGCTGCAATGAGGCGCCGCCGCTATATATAGCCTTTTGGCTGGTAACGCGCCAAAACGAGGAGAGGAGCGGCGATTGCAACAAGCGTGGGAAAGTGCCGGAATCTGGATAGCGCGACAGCAACCAGTGCTCCCGGCCTCCTACTTCTAGGAGCGCTCGCATCGCGGAGCCGCGACATATTCCCTTACTCAGAACTGCTCATGACTGTACCTCCTGACTTGAAGCTCTGTTTCTGTCAAGCTGCTTGTTGGTCTGGAGGCAGTCGTCTTCCCAGTGTAGCACCAGTACATTGGGTGCCCGCACATGTTTCACTACAAGGATACTGTTCAAATTTACGTTTGCTCGAAGTGAGCAACTTCCCTTTTTAGCAGTTATAAACGGGGCCCGGCACGAGGGGGCAAACGGGGTTTTCCAAAACGAGTTCCCCTTTGATCCCAATATTTTTTTACGAATACCCCCTTGAGCCCAAAAACGATGCTTTGTGCTTGTGCAACGAGAGCACCGGCCACATTTCGCCTGAAAGCGCTCAAAAGTGCCCAAAATGCTCAAATTCCTCTAATTACTCCTCACCTGTATCAAGATAGAAAACAGGAAGAAGACTAAGCAAGAAAAATGATGAAGGAATAAAGAAATATCAAAGTAACACAGTCATAGGACTGAGGGACGCCGTCCCCGCGCGTGCCGATTGAATGGGGCGCACTTTCCATCTTAGAAAGCTACCCTGCTGATGCGATTTTGGGCTCTAACAAAGACAAGAGGAGGAGTTTCGGAACCAAAATCTCACCATGTAGTAAACTTTAGGTGTACAACAGATTCATGTAAAAATTTTGAAAAACTTATGTGAATTGAAAGTTTTGCCTACCTCAGGTGGGCATTAGGTGGGCATTTGCCCACCTAATTTGGAAATAAGTTGAGCACGCTCTTTCACATAAGTTTTTCATAATTTTTCAAACATTGTTCCTTAGTCCTACTGCGCGCATACACACCAAGTCTCGCGCGATTTCGTTTTCTCCGCGCTGCAAACAAACCGTTTTTCCATTTTCTTAATAGTGGGAAATTTTCAGAAAAAAGCTTGCCACAATCTTCACTCACATAATTTTTCAATGAAACTTCTAGGTTAAGCCCCCCTGCAGGCCAGTGTTCATGTATCCACCAAGTTTCGTACCGTATGGTCATTTGTGCGCTGCAAACGAGCCAATCAAATTCACATCTTCATTTACCGGTTTTGCAAAATTTTTGGAAAAAATCCTTATTACACCTCCCATTCACATAAGTTTTTCATAATATTTCATACTTTGTTTACACTAGCCTCTCTTCGTTCGCTTACATAATTTGGTGCTATATCGTTACGCAGGCATTGAGAACTGATCATGTAATTATGCTGTTCAACGGCATCGCGTATGCGACGTCGCGCACGCGGCAATTAGCGGCGGCGCGACGTAGCGCGCGCGAACTCTGCTGTGCGTTAAGGCTTATGAAAACTACTTCCCAATAAATTAGATGTTTAAGATAATACTTGGACTCTTTTTAAGGGGCACCGCCCCGGACCCCGCAGAAACGATCTCCTCCATTCTTTTTCCACCAAAAAAGATTTCCAACTTGTCATTTCTCCACCTCGTGCCGGACTCTGGTTATAAAAAATATCACGCTTGCGCTTGCCTCATATAGGTTTCACTTGAAGGAGCATGACGTGTTCTAACATCTCGCAAAATTTGAGCGTTCAAAATTTTCTCTTTGGACTATTGGAAAGAAACTCAAAAAGCCGTTAGTACCACGCGAAAGAGCACAGCCGAAAACGGTGCACCAAAGAATGGAAACCGATGTCAATCTTAGAGTGTTTTTGCGCCTAATGCGAATTTTGAGCGGTTCATAATTATACGAACACCTCAAAAGTCCGTTTATTCGCAAGTGCAATCTTTCGAGTCCAAATTTTTTTCTAGAGTTACAGTAACAATGTCTGAAACATCTGCTACACACTGAACCCAGTGCAGTTCAAAAAGAGGAGCGTTACTTATTCCAGATGGCTGTAAATGCACTTGGAGTCATTGCGCTTCAAGAACGTCCGTTTTTTTGTGGTTTACGCACTCTAACTAGCTTTTACCAAGTCTATGAGATAAAATAAACTCCCGATAGATATTTTGTTTGGCGCTCGGAAAATCTTTGCATTTTTGTGCCGCTTTTCGACCAAGTTCCAACCTTACCCTAGGGTTGGCACGATT